CAGGACCCCACCCCACCTCAGCGCCAGGGAGATCTGTTGCTTCATCTAAAGCCTGAGCGATGGGGTTAATCTCTACTGTCTGACTGAAACGTACACGGCATGCTTGCTGTCAGTCATAAAGTTATGTCATTCCTTACAAAAAAAGTCCACCCTGTGACTTCTCTCTCCAGAAGCCCCCAATTCTCCCCAGGTCCCCACCCTGCTGACTGTGCAGAGTGGGAAGAAATGTTCTTTTTTATTTGTTCTGGATTTACAGCTCCATAATTTCACTGTTCTCATTTTATGGGACAGGCTAAGAAAGACGAGCTGAGCAGTTTTCAAGAAGACCTTTCAGAGTCAACAACTCGGAATATTGTCTCCAAATCCTCCAGTCTGGGCTTTTGAGGAAAGAAAAAAGAAACATTTTCATTTTTGTGTCTTTCATCATGAGAAAATCGGAGAGGCAAGCTTTCATTGCTCCGCCCCAAGCCATGTCCCTTTTAGCTGTCTTTAGGCAGCGAGGTGCCATGGAGGATTATAATAGCCCAGCCTCCATATAGCACTCTGAGGTTTGCAAAATGCTTCACAAAGTCATTTGATTCTCACAACCTCACAACACAACAAGGTGGGTGTAATTATGTTCCTCATTTTACAGATGAGGAAACTGAGGCTGAGAGAGGTTAAGAGACCTGCCCAGGATCACCCAGCCAATGAATGTTCAAGGTTGGGTTTGAACTCTGCTTTTCCTGACTCCAGATCTAGCGCTCTTGAAATCAGGAAGAATAACTTCAAATCCAGCCTTGGACAAAGTCGCTAATTATGTGACCCTGGGCAAGTTGCTAAACTTCTGTTTGCCTCAGTTTCCTCATCTGTAAAATGGGGATGATAATAATAGCACCCACCTCTCAGGGTTGTTGCAAAGATCAAATGAGAAGATATACGTTAAGCGCTTTGTCAACCTTAAAGCAGCTAAATGAATGTCAACTATTATCGTCAAGAGGAGAACAGATAGCTAAGACACTAGGGGAAAATGGTGTTGGGCTGGCAGTGAAGTGTGGAAAACTGGAATTCTGCTTCCTAGCTGTGTTACCTGGAGTCAGGCTGCTTACCTCTATGGGCTTCACTTTCCTCATCTGAAAAATGGGAATAATTGTTCTGGTACTATCTGCCTCCCCAAGGTTGTGGTGAGGAAAATGCTTGGCAATGTGGGTCATTGCCGTGATCGGCTGATGGGGACTAAGCACGTGAACCCTTTGGACCAGCCCTAGGGAGCCTGAGCTTTTCAGCTTGGCTGGCTTTGCTGCCCTCCCAACAGCCACACCCATACGCATTCTCTGCTGTGTATTCAAAGGTGAGATAAGAAAAGTCCGTTCTCAGGCTTTAGGGCTTGGAGGGAGCTTCCAGAGCTCATCATTTTCTGTCTTTCTCCCTTTCTCTCCCTCCCTCTGCAAGAGGGCGGAAGTTCCCATCTATCAGCAAGGCCAGAATGAACTGACTGTAAGGGGTGCTGGGCAAGCCCTTGTCCCTGCAGGAGCAGAAAGAGCACGAGGCTGGGAGGGTTCTCGGTCCTCTGGAAAACAGGGAACCTGAGGCCCAGAGTGGCGGGTGATTAGCCAGAAAGGTAAAGCTGAGCCGAGGATCCAAACATCCTGCTTTTCAGTCCTTTCAGTGCTCTTTCTGTTAGGCCATGCAGGATGTGGCTCTGCAAGAACAATCCCCTGTCTCTGAGTCAGCCCTGCTGATGGATGGAGGACTCCTGTACTTTTGTCAAAGTATGAGGACAGGAAGAGGAAGAAAGAAAGAGGGAGGGAGGGAAAGAGGAAGAGAGAAGAGGGGAAGGAATGAGGGAGAACAGAGGGAGGAAGAGAGGAGAGAGAAAAGAATGAGAAAAGAACAGAGAGAGAGGAGGGAAAGGAATGAGAGGAGAAGAAGGAGGAAGAGAGGAGAGAGAAAAGAATGAGAAAA